AAGACTTCCAACATTTGTACACTGAACCAACGTACACTGTTACTAACCATCTCTGCTGGTGCTAAGCCAGCTCCCTTGTACAATCAAGAATCAGTAACTCTCCCAGCCAGTGTAACTCATGTCTTTCGGCCTGAGTAACTCATTGTGTTCTCTGCTGAAGTTGATGCAGCTCCTCTACACCATAGGGCTCAGTATCCCTCCTGTCCCCAAGTCACTCATTATTGCTGTAGATGTCAATCTACTGTACTTCCTTCATACAACACCCCCAATTACACCAATATTTTAGGTTTCAGAACTTCCTTGAGATTCGGTATGAAAACCTGCACATGAAGGAAGTCTAGTCACTTGGTTGGGTATCGGATGGTTGCCGAATATCTCTGGAACTGCACCCCCAGGACGGTGTCAGCCTGGCTCATTTAGCCGCATTCTTGCTTGTGAATCAGAAGGTTGTGGGTTTGAGCCCCATGTCAGATCTCTAAACTTGCATAGTCTACCCTGGTACTCCAATGCAGTCCTGGGAGCATGCTGTAATGTTGGGAGGTGCTATCCTTCGAATGAGATGTGAAACCAAGGTCCTGTGTGTCCAGGTGGATGCTTGAGATTCAACAGCACTACTCAAAAAGAGAAGGAAGCCACAAAATAAAATTGATCATTCATTTAATGGCTGTTTGTGGAACACTGCTAAGTGCAAATAGGCTGCTGCGTTCACCTATAAATACACTCTCTACGCTTTACAGTAAATCCTATGAATTGCTTTGAGACATCCTCTTGTCATGAAAGGTGTCATATCAAATATAAAGCTTATTATTATGTCAACAGTTCAGGGAGAGGAAGGCGTGGACAGAAAAATTGGCATAATGAAAAAAAATTAGAGAGCAGGTTGATACATGTACAAATCTTGCTCATCTTTGACACCACCTTCTGAAACCTGAAGCTGTTTTTTTTCTTTAAACATGAGCTCAGATGTTCTTTTCCTCATGGGGGAGGGGCTCCCAACAGCTGATCTAAGAACCCTTTGTGTTTAACCAAATGGATAGTAGCACAATTGGCCAAACGTTGATAGCTGAGAAATACTGTGTTAGCACAAGAAAAGCAGAACACAAGGAGATCTCCTTCAACCTGAGAATTTCAACCAAAAAGAAAAGCTTAATGGCTAACTGAGAAGGGATTGCAAGCCAATTAAAGCAGCAGCCCTCTGCTGCTTTGGTGTTTCCTGCTTTAATCAGCCTATGTCCCCTCCTGCAGCCCACTCAATCACAACAGGACAACCTCATTAAATGATCGAGGCGCACACCACAAAACCTTAAAAAACATGTCATTGCTGATTCATAATGAGACGATAATGGGTTTACTATTTTCTCGGGGATGGGGGGGAAAAGAGAAAAAGGAGGAGCCTGATGATCAGCTGTCTCATTTTAATTTTTTTTCTACATTTTTGCACTTCCATTTTGAATAATAGGTTACACTGCTTAAAGGAAAGCAGGTCGAGAGGAAATTGATAAATATATCATAGCCAAGTGGCATTCCCAAGCTGCACAAAGCACCAGAATGTTGTAATAATAATAATATTCCTTGCATTCGATATAGCGCTTTTCACGTCTTCTAGACGTCTCAAAGCGCTTCACAGAATATGCTGTAAAGTGAATTGACCGTATATCTGTGGGCAAAACACTGCAGCAAATTGCACACAGGCAGAAGTGTCCCACAAACAGTCGTGGATTGAAAATGACCAATTTATTACTGTTTTGGAGGGATTATTATTAGGCGTGTGGAGTAAGGAAACTTGCCCAATTTACTTAAAAGTTGTACAATTCACTCTACAATTCTACACAACTGGCTATGAGGCCTAGAGATGGACAGAATGTGGTTTTGATTGATTTGTCCTCAGATTTCAGCCCAGAGATGGGGTGGAAAGGACAAAGGGAGAGAAAGTGACACTCACCATCCTTTTCTTCCAATTGCCCCACTGAAATCAGGAGACCAACTGGATATAAAACTGGAAGTCACCAACTCACAAATAGCATCTATTACTAGGTGTGGGGTTTAGCACAGATACACATGTTCTTGCCTTGGGATGCCATGCTAAACCCATGCAGCTAAATCCACGCAGCTGCATCCAGTCTGAATTTAGATCCAACCCTTTGTAAGCAACTTATGGGGCTGGCCCCAAGCTGTTCTGGATGTTTTGGAAAAACACTGAGCATCAAACTCGTGTTTGGACTTGCAGAGAGTATTAAAAAAAACTGGCTTGGAAACAAACCGTCTGCTGATGAAACAAAATTCAAAGCAGATACTCAAGAAAGGAAAAAAGCAATTGCACTTTTTAATTTGGGAATGGGGGGGTAGGGAAGAGAAAAAATGCTTTCTTCTTTTTCCAAAGAGCTAATTATTCCTACATCAATCTTCAGTGACTTGTGAAGTGACGGCAGTGCAGCCAACAGCCTGTGTGCATGGAGCACAGGTTTGCCATCAAAAATCTCATTGACACAAACAGAGGAGTGTCACATTGCAATCTTAATGGTGTTGTACAGGGTTTGATTTGAATCATATTAAAACATTTCGACACGCTGGAAGTCAAGATACGGCCAAAATTGGAGAAGCCTCAGTCACCAGTGAGCAAGATCAGAGACAAACTCAAGTCGGCACTTTTGTGTTCCTCTGTTCAGTGACACTGCCCGCTTGAAGGGAGATATATAAATTCAAGTCGCTGTTGTTGTTTTACATCTTTTGAGTGTAATAATAATAATCCTTGCATTTGATATAGCGCCTTTATCACGCCTTCGAGACGTCTCAACGCGCTTCACAGAATCCACTGTAAAGCGAATTGACTGTATATTTTGCGGGCGAAACACACAGGATATCAGTGCTGTAGAATGGAGTGTTTCTCCATCTATTCAACAAGTACCATCAAGGTTAATATTTTCCTTCCTCCATTTGTTTTATTTACATTAGCATGCAAGCTGAAAACTGCAAGGAGCAATGAAAATAAGGAGAGGAGACTACAGAGTAGAGCATCCTTTTGTACCATTCATCATTCTCCAGATGGGCACGGGATATGCGGTAGGCTGAGGCTGTGTGCATTACATCAGTGTATATGCAGCAGACACAATGTGATCATGTACAAATGCAATGTACAAACAGGCGCCCAGGAACAGCAGAAAGTGTAACCTCCATAGTGGACGTACATCGAGTTCACATGCAGATCTCGACACAGGGTGTGGCAACAATCACAAGTGGTTCCAAGTACATCCTCTTTGAGCTTCTGCAGTGCTGTTATCCTGCTGCTGTCAGCAGGACATTTGTCAACTAAAACCCAACACAAATCAAAGGCTGCTTTTGACAATTCGGTACATCTCATGCAAAGAAATTACTCAGTGAAATGCTGTCGCCACTGGCTGCCAGTTATACTTGAGATCAGGCTGTAGTTATGTTCTCTCAGGCTGAAAAATGCTGTGACTACAGAACAAAGAGGGACCCATCTTCTTATCAATGGAAACACAATCTCATCTACCAGAGAGGTGCTGGAACATCAGTACTTTGCTGGGGGATGTGGAAGAAAGGAGAAAGTTGTTCTCAGCATGGCATCTCCATAGGCAAGATGATCTTTCAATATTCCCTACTCCAATCTACTAATTTGCTGGTATACGGGGAAAGGCCAGGTAAATGGAACTGAATGAATTGCTCTTTCAAAGAGTCAGCGCAAACATGATGGGCCGAATGGTCCCGTGTATTTTTATGGTTCATTCCTGAACGCAGCGACTCATGCCGATGGACATTAGATATCTCTTTGGTTTGTCCACGTCCATAATCCTAAATATTGGCAGTCTGAAGAGAGTGGGAAAGGGTCTGAGTTTATACAGAATAGGACGGTTCCAGGTTGAGAGCCTGGTTTGTACTGAGCCAACTGATCTCACATAAGAGAGGTGGTTCAATAAGATCAGTGACACTGATCTCTGGGGAAGAGGAAGTATCAGGGTTGTTGTATTTTAGCTGATTAAAAAATAATTCTTGTGCTAAATTTGGATGAGGACAGGATTGGGCCCAGATAATCCTGAGGTTAAAGAACCTGATAAAACCTCACACAAAAAATTGCCGTGGAACTGTATCTCAGCACCTTCAGAGATGGCGGAAAATTGGAATACGGGAATGAATTCAATGAGGTAATAAGCCTTCAATCCATTGGAAGTAGTGAAGAATAAAGATTCAAGCTGACTTTCTGTCTGATCTAAATACCTCTGCATGCAAACAAGGCAATATATTGCACAGCATGGTAATAAAGACACACAGAGCAGGAATGATTCAGTACTCTGTAGTACACATACTTCAGACTCATATAAAGACTGACCACCTGGGTGAGGTGTGGAGGCTCGTCTATATTCATGTAACTGTAATTCGCTCCTACATATCAACTACTCAATATATGAAGCAACTAAACCTCTATAACTCACTCCATGGGACATTATTCTAGATATTAATCATTCGGACCCCTTGAATTACATCTGAGCTGAAAACTCCATGAGTACAGGTTTGTTGCCTGAATATGAAAAGAGACTTAACACCTACTGGTGCTCTGATGTGAAGCGGTCATAAGTGCCACTTGGGAGCAGTTTCAAATCATTCTAATCCAGTGTCAAACGAACGTTACAAGGACTGCAGTAAGCAAATTGCAGCACGTCAATGCTGCTGCGAGATTTTATTTCGATGGAAGATCAGAGCATTATAAACTCTGTCAAAGATGAACACCAAATAAGCAACTTTGATTCTCAAAATGCCTCTTTTAGGGTTGTGTTTCTCTCCTTTCGCTCCCCCACTCCCATTACAACAATCACCATGTTCCAAGTCCTGGTTATATGTGCATTTTCTACTCCTCACCAATGCTCTGAATGTTAACCTGTAAATCATTAAACCCCCTCTCCCCCCCCAGTCCATTACTCATTCCAGCCACCAAGTCTCATTCTCGCACTCTGTGTTGCAGAAATCCCTTTCGCGTCTAAACTTACTGTCAAAGGTGCTGTGCTGGTCCATCAGCATGTTCTGCACTGAGCGGCTCGAATCCTTGACCAGCGACTCAAATTCATTCTTGCTCTTCATAGCCAGGTTGACCTCCATGTCGCTGGTGCAACAAGTGTACCCCTGAGGGCAGATGCGAAGGTGTTCTCCTGAAAAGACATCAAGAACGAAACTGATTTTAAGTCCAAAGTTGAAACATTTTTTTGATTTCCCGAAAACTACTCCGACGCCACAAAGAACGTTGAAGCAGCAAGAGATAAATAGCATTCACTCCAGATATATTGAATATGTGAATTGTTCATAAAATCTGTAACTGGTGTTTTGCTTGCTGTGGATTCAAATCCCACCCACTCCCAGATCGTCTTAAACCCAACAGATTGAAGCCATAATTACCCTCAATCAGCTGGAATGCTCTAAAAATATTGGCATTTAATAATAATAATAATCCTTGCATTTGATATAGCGCTTTTCACGTCGGAAGGACGTCCCAAAGCACTTCACAGAACACACTGTAAAGTGAATTGACTGTAAATTTGTGGGCGAACGCGGCAGCCAATTGCGCACAGCAATGTCCCACAAACAGTCGTAGATTGAAAATGCCAATTTTATTATTGTTTTTTTTTTGGTTTTGGAGGGATTATTATTAGGCGTGTGGAGTAAGGAAACTTGCCCAAGGTTTCGCCCTGCCTGGAATTGAACTCAGGTCTCTCGCTTGCAAAGCAAGTGCTCTAACCACTGAGCTACAGGACTCCACATTTAATTAACACTCTGCAGAAAAATTGTTAAATTCAGCCCATATCATGATTTTAATCCCACTTCCTCTAAGAGGAAATTAATTGGGACCTATTCGGGGCATTTGTAATTTCCCAAACAAACACAAAAATTCCAGAATATTCAACCCTGTTCCCATCTCTTGCTACAGTACAATTATTGTATCCAGGAATCACCCCCCGTCTGCCCCTATAACTTCGTATACCAATTCCGAGAAGAGTTAGCCAGGTTTTTGTGAAGAAGTCAAGCACGGCATCAATCGCTTCTGCTGGCAGTCTGTACATCATTTTTGACCGCGCTTTTGGCAATCTTTCTCCACCACCACTCTTTTTAGCTCCCCCCCACCCACTCAATGCCCAGCCAGCTGTGTGAAGTGCCTTGACACTTCCTACTTATGCAAAAGGTGCTATATAAATGTAAATTGTATTGTGTTGTATTTCTAATGACTAACATGTAGCACTGATATGAGAAACACGTTCATCTAATGCATCCTGAGTCACCCACTGACTAGACCTTTCAAACCTGAAGGATTATTAGTTTCCATTTAAGGAAAATGGCCTTCTTTTTATTCATTCATGTCTAATTGAAGTTCAAATTGCAAAATGTGCCCCCACCTCCAATCCAATAGCCTAGACTATAGCCTAGCAACAGTCCTGAGCCTGTGCAGAGGTAGTGAATGTGACTGACTGCTATGCTTAACATGTAGATGCCTTATAATAATAATAATCCTTGCATTTGATATAGCGCTTTTCACGTCGGGAGGACGTCCCAAAGCGCTTCACAGAACACACTGTAAAGTGAATTGACTGTATATTTGTGGGCGAACGCGGCAGCCAATTGCGCACAGCAATGTCCCACAAACAGTTGTAGATTGAAAATGACCAATTTATTATTGTTTTTGGTTTTGGAGGGATTATTATTAGGCTCTGTGTGGAGTAAGGAAACTTGCCCAAGGTTTCGCCCTATGCCTGGAATTGAACTCAGGTCTCTCACTTGCAAAGCGAGTGCTCTAACCCCTGAGCTACAGGACTCCATATAAAAGAGATGTATAGAACAGCTGTGGAGCAATGACTGAATCAGCAATAAAGGACTCATAAATATAGAACCTTGTTTGAAAATACAACACCTGATGTCTTTTATGATAGACAGTGCCAGGGAAAGTAAACAAGAAGCCCTAAAGGCAGTAAATGAGAGAGGGAGAGGAATCCTTATATCCGGCTGCTGCATTTGGCATTGAACAAATCCACTTCACCCTTGTCTATGACACCTTTCATTCAGTCCAGCAACAGATCAATTGGGGCATCTCCCACTTCTTGTTGGGAAATAAATACATTCAATAAGACAACTTTTCCTACTACCCCCAAAAGAAAACTGCTCCGGCACTTTGGCTGCAGCAAGGCAAAAAGTTAGCACATTTCCACTGCTTGTTCTTCTCTGAAATACAGTTCAGCAGGAGCGCGGAGGACAATTTTGTGCAAAAGTAACTGACTTTTCTTTCTCTTCCACCCCCGACCCGCGCCACCCCCCCAAACCCCTCCGACTTTCAGAGATTACTCCAGCTGTGACAACACAATTTCATTTCGTATTCTGGGCAGATTTGACACAATTCAAGCTTCTGCCAAAGACCCTATTTACAGCTGTAAGAATCCTGCCACTCAAGTCTTTTGTCCAGAATCCCGATTGTAGTATTCAATGTAGACTTGGGGGGAGGAGGAGGGGCAGGGATGAATGGCACATACATAGGGATGGACTTTCCAACCTTAGAAGTACATGTCATTTGCATTCAGAAAGGTTAAGTATGTATGACTGAGTTAATGAATTCCATCACAGTGCTTCAGTGAGGCTCCTGAGCGGTTTTGAAAGAACACCATCACCAGAATCTACTTTCAGAAATGGAAGTGACAAAAGATACCATTAACTAACAGTCTCTAATTACCATTTTCCTTTTCTTTCATTTTTGCTTCAAACAGTGCTGACATCATGGTGGTGGTGGGTGGGGTTGGCGGGGGGCCTCAGTGATCAGGCTTGGAAGAGTCACTGTGAGGGCAATGCAATTACCATCAGTGAAGACACAGTGATTAACCTGGAGAGTGCTTCACCGATTGAGTCATTTTGACTGCATGTTAAGTGAAGTTCAGTCACGTGCTCAGGCTCAGCTCCTCTGAGCCAGTTCCCCACCCATCACACGCGAACTCCCTAGCTGGCACATTTAAAACAAATATTCAATAAACCCAAGCAAAAAATAAAGGAACAAAGGAACACCAATGTGATAATGCTATCTCACGTGGCAATTTGATTTGATCTGTTAGAAAAGGTAGCATCTGTCGATGGAGAATCAAAGCAAGGAACATTAGTGCTGGATTTTTTGAGAGCATAACCAAGGCCTCCTCAAGTGTGAAGAATGCACTCTTGGGCAAGGCCTGATTGTGATAGCACACAAGAAATCTTCATGTTCACTGTCCTTACAAACATGACGAATACAACATGTGGTGTGTGACGTGTTAAGTTTGCCATAGCTGGGGGAGGGGGGGGGTTGGTGGTGTAAAATCTGACAACACCCATGAGCCAGACACCTAGTTATAAGAATCATATGAGGTTCAGGAGGGCTTCTGACCTCTTGCACCGCTCACAAGGAGTCTTCAGGAGAGGGCTGGAAAGATTGGATGAGAAAATAAAAATAGGATCAACGATTAAATACAGTGAGTGGTATTTAAGAAGGAAAGCCACACACTCACAGATATGCACCACTGAAGCTTTGAGCATCACCTTTTGCCAATTTCACCAAATGGGACAAAATGAAATTCCCGAAATTGGCCTCTATCCCCACTGGTCATTTTTTAATGACAGAGTGATGTTTCAGATACATCTCATACAGCTGCCTGAGGTCTCTGGTGAATAGTACTCCAGTCTTATCTCCTCCCGTGATGACAAGAAGCGAGAGATGAGTCACGCAGTGAGCCAGTAATCAGTCGTCTGCTAGTCACAGCATGTCATGTTCTAATAATAATGCTCACTTTGATCTCATCCTGACAACAAACACCTGACAGTCTTTGCTTCGCCTGCCGCTTCATCAGTGAAATGTGAGCAAGAAGGGCCTGAACCCAGGGAGCTCCGAGCTGGAGCTCGTCATTCCTGTTAAGGCACCACGGGCTTTCAAGGTAGCTGGTGAGTCACTAATAGATAGAGATTAGTCATCAACCTGAGTTAATCACCAACAACTGACTGACACTGTACAATGAATCCCTACAGGTACAACAATACAACAACAATAATCCTATCATTACCAATTGCTCCATCCCAATCAACACCGTGTGTAAATATTATGAAAGAAATACTTGTTTTCCAATTCTCCCTCTTCCCCTGAAGGATTCAACTCAAACTGGGGTATAATTCTATTGGTAGCACATGCCCTGTGGCGCCTTGCCCTAAAGCCCATTCTTCACACATAACCAGAACAGTAAGTGATGAAAGGCTATGAAAGTCATTGTAATGTAGCGCAATGTCGTATGCCCTCAAATACATTTTTTCCAGTTGGAAGCTAGTCATCAGCTGCAGCAATCTTGTCGATTCCAGGGTCAACTATATCACATGATTGAGGTCAACTATATCACATTATTGATCAGTTGACTCAGCAAAGACCAGGGATTGAACCGGGTCATTCCTGCTCAGTGCAGCTCAGTAAACTATATCAGGTAATGTTTTTGCTACTGAAGGAAGCCATGAATTTTCCATTTGCCATTCTAACCAATGTTTGTTGGTTATGAAAATACCAACGAATATACTGAAAGGTACAATTACTCCACTCTTTTGAGAAGGAGAATGAAAAAAAAGACATATTTGATCACTCATTAACCCAATACAATAGTTATATGAAAACCAATTGATAGTAATTTCAACTGTGTGAATTTCAGTGTCAGTTATGAGGCTGGCAGGTCTCCTCAAAGATTTGTTTCCATGTAATAGACGTTACACTCAGAGCTGAGAAGCCGAGTGTATGTAAATAATGTTTATTCGGTCAAATAATACTGTGCTGCATTTTTATTTTAGTTATTTCTATTTTTATATGAAAAAGAACACAGTATAAAGGGCTGAATGAGTATAGAGCAAATTGTGTTGGAACCTGATACCCCAAATCCTCAAGAGCACATATTTCCAGGATGTTGCAAAACAAATCATTTCAGACTCCTCTCGGAAATGGTCTATACTAATAACATTTATAAACAGCTGTGAATGCCCAACTCTTCATCCTCACAGAAGTTTCCGAAACAAGAAGCATAAATCTTGCTCTCCATTCCAGACCACTTTGCTGCTGGAGGAGATGCTGCATAAATCATGGATAAGAAAGAAAAGGAGGGACGGTGGTGGGTAGTAAGTAAGG